CTGAAATTCGAAATGATGCCCAGTGGGCATCTTTAGCCTGGGGTATCGTTGATGCCGTTTTGCATGTGGATACCTTAGAAGATGCCCAGTTGTGGTATAGGTGTGAAAAAGCGGCATAAGACCTATAACAATATGCCGTGGCCTGTTGAAAACGAAAAATTAACGATTATGTACTGAAATTCGAAATGATGCCCAGTGGGCATCTTTAGCCTGGGGTATCGTTGATGCCGTTTTGCCTGTGGATACCTAAGAAGATGCCCAGATGTGGTATAGGTGTGAAAAAGCGGCATAAGAACTATTATGTTAGGTACATTTGAATATCAAACTAGCCCAATATTGGGCTAGCCCAATATTGAATAAGTAACCAACTTCACTCTGGTAAAATTAAGGAACGACAACTCTGGCCGGTAGAGATTGGAAGTCGTTTGTAAAGAAAAACCAGCTAAATGTTGATAATATTTGAGGCCTGAGAACTATTCCTATCTGGACCGTTGAAATGGAATACATGTACTTAAATACATTAAAGGAATATGACCGGTGTCACCCTTTACAGCGTGTGTCATAAATAGCAATTCGTCGTACATTGAAACAAGACATTGGGAAAAAAACCTGGAGACATGGGGAATTTAACAACATTTCTCTAAAGTGTCATTTCAAACAATAGGCCAGCAGTCATCAGGGTAAAGTTACACTCTATCGTTCAGGTATCTTTCCTAATATCTTAGTCAACATCCGGCATTATCAGAACAACATGTGCGTGGAAAATCCTTTCTCATTTTGCAAAAAAAGATCTACAATTTCATTCCCCGTATTTACTGTTTTTGTTAAATAATGATTGTGTTCGCTCAGATGAATTCAATGCCGCCACGTGATGTACGACATGTATCACTGCGGCTCAGTTATAACATTTATCGGGTATATACGATTGCCGACAGCAGATGGTCAAAACGTTGCTTGACCAATGACTTTTTGCGAGCGACGATTTTTTGGGGGGGGGGGGGGGGGGGGGGNAGTACCTCATGTGGATAGACATGCATTTTATTGATATATAGTATAAGGTTATAAAGGCAGAGATTCGTTTTTCATGTTGATAGATAAGTATTTGCCATTTATTTTGGGAAATATATATGCGGCTATCACACATTCATTGTGATTTTTTTTGTTGCCGAGCAGCCACTGATTATGCTGTTTCTATTTCTTCAAATGCAATATACATTACATAAGATTACACACGGTCGGCAGGTAGCGCACATTAAAGATGTTGGTAATGTAACTCCGACAACCGGATATTATGCGTGTGTAACAAAAAATAAATAAACAAAAATCGTCTGTTTCTGAGTAAACAGATCCCTGTTGCGTGATAACAATTAAAGTTAAACATGAGTAAGCCTTTCAAATCGTTTGTACTCATATCGTGATGAGAATACAAAAATGACAAACTTTTATTTAGCGAAACTTCCTGGTTCGATACAATAATCTGACGGATATGTGATGTGCGTTAAATGCTACTTGGTCTTACATACTGTGGTCATCCCGGGCAATGGACGTGCTTGTGATTCTTACTGCCTGCCTATGTGGTGCGGTCAGTTTAACCGTGGACGACCTATACCCGTACCCTCATGACAACGTAACAACAGCAGATGACGAGCTTCTATACCGTAATGACGATGGCAGCTCCCCAGCAATCCAGATTTCGTTTTCATATTTCAATAACGTCCAAACCTCGGCATACGTAAGCAAAACAAATCTATACTCTTTCAGATCTTAGTTTGCCAGGATAAATATTCTTATTTCATATTAGTGTTTTGTCATAGGACAGATCTTGTGATGCTATCTCACAATTGCAGTCTCTGATAGCAATTAGTACTTTTACAAAGTTAAATGCATCTAAGACAGAACAGATATACTATTGCTGGGGAAAATGTTATCTAAACATGCATTTTGTTTGCAAAATAAGTTTTGTAAGCTTCAATTAATGAATTTTAAAATTTGAATGCTGTTAATTTTCCACATAAATTCACTAGTTACGATTCCCTCATTTGATCTGCTAATTTAATTTCTAACATTAACATTAGCCTGCAACTTTCTACAATATAAGTTGCTTCTAACCTATTAAATAGAGTGAAAAATAAAGCAACAAACGCATTGTTAACACGCTTCATAAAAGGCAGCTAAGCCATTAGCTTATTTTATGCATCGGAAACACTAAACAAGATCATTTTGAATATTTTCCGAATTTTTGTGGATTTTTCTTATGCATAAGACCCACAAGTGATGTCCCTTGTGGGTCAGAGGGTTATCTGATTGGTCAGTTAATTTCAAGGGGACGCTGAGACCCCTCTATCAGTCAGCCATCTTAGATTTAAGCTGTGTTACCTATCCGATCCAGTAAAGTAATAACATTTTTTTCTGCAAAATACTGACCAATCAGATGACCCTCAGATGCCCCGTGACCCTTCATCCTAAGGGGATTACTGGCTACGACACAAGGGAGATAACATTTACTGTTATGCATAAGAAAAATCCACAAAAATTCGGAAAATATTCAAAATGATCTTGTCTAGTGTTTCCGATGCTTAAATTAAGCTAATGGCTTAATTAGCTGCCTTTTATATGCATCTATTCACTATAACAAGAAACGACACAACACGGACTGTGAATGAAAAAGATCACCCTCACAGGGGGTGACTAAGTATTTATTTATGAGGAAATTTTCCAAATTAGAAATATACCTGGTAGCATAAAAATACATAAATATAATGTACATGCAACTTTTAACTCTTGAGTACATATAATAAAAAGCCAATGTGGGGTTAACAAAAACCGTCACAAAGACATTGAAAATGTCTTCCCCACATTAGGCAAAATATATAGGTATATTGAACTTTTTACCATAAAGTTGTCGCACTGAAAATTAATAAGTGTAAATAATTATTATTGAATATATATCTCTCTCTCTCTCTCTCTCTCTCTCTCTCTCTCTCTCTCTCTCTCTCTTTATAATCTACAATTGCAACGTGTATTTATACTATGTAAGTGAAATAAAAAAAAAACATTGGAAAGGAATAATGTAAAGAGTATATCGGATGACAAAATTGATACATATTTTGTAATTCTTTGTTCTGACTATTTTGTTACAGGTGAACACGAATGGTGATATAACGTTTGGGAGTTCATTGAGTCGCTTTATTCCATATGCGTTTCCGTACGGTACTGGCGACGGTAATTATGTGATGATTGCCGCATTCTGGACTGATCTCATTACGACTAGTGTTGGACAGATCTGGTACAAGCTCAGTACCAGCTCTGACCTCTTGACCCGTGCAGCATCAGATGTACAATCAGCATTTTCGGATCAAAACGATTTCAATCCATCAATGGTATTCATAGTAACCTGGCACGAGGTACCTTATTATGGAGCCTCTGGAGATGCGTTACTATTGGTAAGTTTTCATTTTTTTAAGTAGTTTCTCGGTTCCTGTAAGGGCGTTTTCTTAATTACTTTGAATGATTTTTGATTTTATAGAGGTGTGTTCACGTTTTGATATATTTTATATTTAAATTAAAGTAATTATATCGCATTCTAAATAATGCATGAAACATTTACATATTTACCACAATTTATGTATTTTTTTGGAAGAGATGAATATAACTCATTCTAATTATTTACTAAAACTATGTCACAATGAACTGCAAAGAGGTCTGATATCGTACAATTACTGTTATGTACCGTAAACATACAACGGATTTGTACAATATATATAAATGTAGATATAAAAACGACTTAATTGACAAAAGAAGATGTTACTTTTTACAATAACATTTTCACTGTATTAGGTCTTAATACGCATGGTTACAGGACACCATTGTTTGACGTATATGTATATAAAGTTGTATATCATATACATACAATAAACATACATACAATAAACATACCTGCAATAAATATACATACAATAAACATACATGCAATAAATATACATACAATAAACATACATACAATAAACATACATGCAATAATATACATACAATAAATATACATACAATAAACACATGCAATACATATACATATAATAATATACATACAATAAATATACATACAATAAACATACATACAATAAACATACATACAATAAATATATATACAATAATATACATACAATATGTACATACAATAAACATACATATACTAAATATACATACAATAAACATACATGCAATAAATATACATACAATAAACATACATTCATACAATAAACATACATATAATAAATATACATATAATAAATATACATACAATAAACATACATACAATAAATATAATACAATGATATACATACAATAATTATACATACAATAAAAATTCATACAAGAATATACATACAATAAATATACATGCAATAAACATACATACAATAAACATACATACAATAATATACATACAATAAATATACATACAATAATATACATACAATAAACATACATACCATAAACACACATACAGTAAAGTTACATGCAGTAAATATACATACAATAAACATACATACAGTAAATATACATACAATAAACATACATAAATAAATATACATACAATAAACATACAAACAATAAACATACATACAATAAATATACATACAATAAATATACATACAGTAAATACCTACAATAAATATACATACAATAAATATACATACAATAAACATACATACAATAAAAATACATACCATAATATACATACTATAAATATACATACAATAATATACATACAATATATACATACAATAAACATACATATACAATATATACATACAATAAACATAAATGCAATAAATATACATACAATAAACATACATTCATTCAATAAACATACATATAATAAATATACATATAATAAACATACATACAATAAACATACATACAATAAACATACATACAATAAATATACGTACAATGAACAAACATACAGTAAATATACATACAATAAACATACATACAATAAATATACATACAATAAACATGCATACAATAAATATACATACAATAAACATACATACAATAAATATAATACAAACATACATACGTACAATAAATATACATACAATAAACATACATACAGTAAACATACATACAATAAACATACATACAATAAATAAACATACATGTAATATACATACAATAAACATACATACAATAAATATTATACAATAAACATACATACGTACAATAAATATACATACAATAAACATACATACAGTAAACATACATGCAATAAATATACATACAATAAATATACATACAAAAAACATAAATACAATAAATATACATACAATAAATATACATACAATATACATACAATAAATATACATACAATAAACATACATACAATAAATATACATATAATAAACATACATACAATAAATATACATACAATAAACATACTTACAATAAATATACTTACAATTAATATACATACAATAAATATACATACAATAAACATACATACAATAAATATACATACAATAAACATACATACAATAAATATACATACAATAAACATACATACAATAAATATACATACAATTAATATACATACAATAAATATACATACAATAAACATACATACAATAAACATACGTACAATAAATATACAGTTGTGGGATCGCACAACGTTACACGATGTGCGGTGTGCGACGATGTGTGCACGGTGTGTGAACGGTGTGTGCACGATGGGCGAACGATAAAAAGCTGGACGATCATTGCTTACAATAAACATACATACAATAAATATACATACAATAAACCTACAGTAAATATACATACAATAAATATACATACAATAAACATACATACAATAAATATACATACAATAAACATACATACAATAAACATACATACAATAAACATACATACAATAAATATACATACAATAAACATACATACAATAAACATACATACAATAAACATACATACAATAAATATACATACAATAAACATACATACAATAAACATACATACAATAAACATACATACAATAAATATACATACAATAAACATACATACAATAAATATACATACAATAAACATACATACAATAAACATACATACAATAAACATACATACAATAAATTTACAGTTGTGGGATCGCACAACGTTACACGATGTGCGGTGTGCGACGATGTGTGCACGGTGTGTGAACGGTGTGTGCACGATGGGCGAACGCTAAAAAGCTGGACGATCATTGCTTGCGCACATATATGCGCACGATGGACGGACGTTGTGCGATAACAATCGTGGTTGGGGTAAATTGAGGAATGCCTCAACAATATATACGGTTTCATGTTTAAACATATAAACTTGATGTTTACGTATGTTTCTATATTCTAGCAACATCTATAAACTTATCTTTCTGTCTATACATTCTTATATTAAGAAATTGTATTTTCTGTGATTTTAAACAAACTTAATCGACACATGTAAAATTACAACACAATCCCGTATACAGGTAAACATAACCACTTTGTACATGTACCTGGACCGTAGTTTTCCCCCCCGCCTTGGGCACTTATATAATTACGTAACTCGTCGGGTAAGGCCGGGGTGTGAAAATCCAAGTGAAGGGGAGCTGTAGGCAAACGAATGCAAATAACAAATACTATTCATTACGGTCAAACGGTATCGCATATCAACTCTGTGTGTCAGGCACTGGTCAGGTAAAACTCCGCACACTCATCAAATTGTTATTTACCTGTTCTGTTACCTTGGAGCCAAACCCATTCTTGACAGCCTAACGGTCGCTGTAATACTGTGTAACAAGCATTGTGAAATTGTATAATCTTTGATTATTGTGATGAGAAATTAAAGATATATACACAGTGTACATTATCGCATACAAGCCTTCCGTATTTTTGTCATCCGTAATTTTGATCTACAAATGATACCAAATCGCACAGTTATGCGAAGAGAAGCGCACAACGGGGCGAACGATTGCTAAATCGCACAGTTGTGCGCACCATGTGTGGAGGATGTGCGGACGGTGTGTGAACGATGTATGCACGGTGTGCGCACGCTATTTTTGGTGCGTTGTGCGGTCCCACAACTGTACAATAAACATACATACAATAAATATACATACAATAAATATACATACAATAAACATACATACAATAAACATACATACAATAAACACACATACTATAAACATACATACAATAAACATACAGTAAATATACATACAATAAACATACATACGATAAACATACAATAAAGCTGTATAGCGTACACATTTACACTGTAATTATTTTAGTAAATAGAAGGAAACAATAAAGGAAAAGAACACTTTGCGAAAAAGGATTTTTCACATTGTCTTTGAGTTGAGAATTGTGTCTTCATACATCCACATATATGACGTTTCATTTCATTTCAACATTCATGGTATATATTAAGTGCATTTGGTTAAAACTTAACAGCTGTATATTTAATTTGTATTCCTGAAATATTTTCATTTACTTTATCTGATTTTTTAATGGTTGGACAACTTTTGAAACATTTTAGTATCAATTTTTCATAGGCATTTCTAAAACGAAACATTGGTACAGCAATGGGTTAAAATGAAATATGATTACAATTACTGAAAACTAGAACTATACTATAGTAAACCGTTGACTATACAGCAAGGTGCTTAGACGAATTATAATGGCAAATACTGAAACCATAACTATATATAATTGAACTGTTGACCATACAGCAAAGTAAAATGACGAAATATTGTGTCTAATACTTAAAATTAAAATGCCAACACCTCACGCATGATATGTTGAATATTTCTTTATATCGGAGACGTCAAGTGTTTCACGAGCGTTGTTATCAGATAAACATTCTAAAGTCAGGATATTTCTGTAAGTAGATATTACCATAACGCGGCTTTGATTTGTCGTCGATATCGTCTCAACAACGTTTGCTTTATTTGCTGTGCAAATAGCTTTACATTGTCTGCATTATTTATCGATACAGAGAAACACTTTCCAGATCGTACTTACAGCTGACGGTACAAAATCATTTGTGATGCTCCACTACTTAAGACTTGATTGGGCAAGGAATGCAATGGTAAGTTTAATGAAACTTTTTCTGCTCATCTATATCCTTTTCATTTGATATTACTTTCAACGTTTGATGTTAAACTGAATACTAAATTATAAGTGCAAACTAGTAGTGTATTGAGTCGTATAGTGTACCTGTATGTTGGTGTAAGTTGCAGTGATATCTTATTTGGATAATAACAATTTAACTTCAATGTTGGTGTTAAATGCAGTGATATTATTTGTATAATTACAATTTAACTGAAATGTTGGTGTAAGTTGCAGTGATATCATATTTGGATAATGACAATTTAATTTGAATTTTGGTGTAAGTTGCAGTGATTTCTTATTTTGATAATTACAAATTAACTTGAATATTGGTGTTAGTTGCCGTGATATCTTATTTGAATTTAGCTTGAATGTTAGTGTAAGTTGCAGCGATGTCTTATTTGGATAATTACAATTTAACTTGAATTTTGGTGTAAGTTGCAGTGATATCTTATTCGGATAATTACAATTTAACATGAATGTTGGTGTTAGTTGCAGTGATATCTTATTCGGATAATTACAATTTAACTTGAATTTTGGTGTAAGTTGCAGAGATATCTTATTCGGATAATTACAATTTAACTTGAATGTTGGTGTAAGTTGCAGTGAAATCTTATTCGAATAATTACAATTAAACTTGAATGTTAGTGTAAGTTGCAGTGCTATCTTTTGCGGATAATTACAATTTAACTTGAATTTTGGTGTTAGTTGCAGTGATATCTTATTCGGATAATTACAATTTAACTTGAATGTTGGTGTTAGTTGCAGTGATATCTTATTCGGATAATTACAATTTAACTTGAATGTTGGTGTAAGTTGCAGTGATATCTTATTCGGATAATTACAATTTAACTTGAATTTTGGTGTTAGTTGCAGTGATATCTTATTCGGATAATTACAATTTAACTTGAATGTTGGTGTAAGTTGCAGTGCTATCTTTTGCGGATAATTACAATTTAACTTGAATTTTGGTGTTAGTTGCAGTGATATCTTATTCGGATAATTACAATTTAACTTGAATGTTGGTGTAAGTTGCAGTGCTATCTTTTGCGGATAATTACAATTTAACTTGAATTTTGGTGTTAGTTGCAGTGATATCTTATTCGGATAATTACAATTTAACTTGAATGTTGGTGTAAGTTGCAGTGCTATCTTTTGCGGATAATTACAATTTAACTTGAATTTTGGTGTTAGTTGCAGTGATATCTTATTCGGATAATTACAATTTAACTTGAATGTTGGTGTAAGTTGCAGTGATATCCTATTCGGATAATTACAATTTAACTTGAATGTTGGTGTAAGTTGCAGTGATATCTTATTCGGATAATTACAATTTAACTTGAATGTTGGTATAAGTGTCATACGAAAACCTACAGATATTAATACAGTGTTTGGTTAACACTTCTTGCTCACCATCACGAGATAGTGGGCTTTTTAAATGGCTTTTTATAAGGGTTGTCAACGATAAGCCGGTTAACCAGCTGCTGGATCGGAAGACCACGAACTTACAAAATACGCTACCACAGTCATTATAATGCATATTTCAACCCTACTTTGCTCCCCCTGGAGAACCCCCAAGATTTCGACGAAACGCCGGAGATCTCCTTCCCGCAGTAGTGGTTTCCATAGGGATCGAAGCAAGACGACCTTTTCTAGAGGTGGGAAAAGTTCCTGACTCTTCATTGCCCTTGGTGGCGCCTTGTCCGCTATCTGCCACTGTTTTGGAGGGCCTAGATTGGCCCCTTCAAGATTCGCCGGTCGGCGGTCCGCTTTCCCATTTAGTTCCCCAGCGGAAGGAAATCACCTCAGACGGCTGAGCTCTGGTGGTTGTGTCCAAAGGTCTTTGCATCCCAATTTTTCGGGATACACCTCTGTCACGAGAGCATACTTTTTTTGCTGGAAAAGGTTAAGGCTCTCAGTTCGGAGGTTCAGGATCGCGAAGGGTGCAATTGCGGGACTTTCACCGGACAGGTTGTCTCCAGGGTATTATTCCCGGGTCTTCCTCGTGAAGAAGAAGTCCCGTGTTTGGAGGCCCGTCATCAACCTGAGTACGTTCAATGCGTACTTCGAGTCTCTGCACTTTCAAATGGAAACGCCGCGACGCATCATTGCGTCAGTGTGTGCGATGATGTGGGCTACGTCCATCGATCGAGGATGCTTATTTCCACATTCATATCAGGAAGTCGGCCAGAAAGTTCCGTAAGTTCACTTTACCTTCGGCCTCACTACGGCCCCCTTGATCTTCACCAACTTGTTGTAGGTAGTGGTGGGACACCTCAACAGTCTTGGAGTGGATTCTCATATCTATTTCGACGACTTCCTGTTGCTCCAAGTGGATCCGGTTGCCCTGTCATAGAGCACGAGGTCGGTTCTTTGCGTTTAGTTCCGCCTAGGGTTCATCCCTTCCAGGGAGAAGTCTGACGTGTTCCCTTCCCAGGACTCCATCTTCCGGGGGAGAGACTTGTAATCCTGCTCGGTGTGCTTTGTCCAACCGGGCTCTGTTGCTTTGTCAGGTGATCAGTCCTGATCTCACAGGGCGGCACCGTCAGATTTCGTCAGATCGTTGTACATGTACCGGTCAAAAAACAAATCGCTTGCTTAGTCATAGCTCGACAAAGGGACCAGTTGGTCCTGAAACGTTGCGACCCGTTATATACGCACATTGTTTGTGTAGGAGGAACAACTGATATTAATGTCCAATGTTATTTTATAATGTTAATGCATGACATTTTGTACTGATTAACCACGACGTAATAACAGTAATGAGCTATGTATCTTAACAAAGACAATATGTATTGAAGGACAATATGTGTTATATCGTTAACACAAGACAGTGTGAACTGTATGACAATGATGTGTTACATATATTTGTATATCATTAACGCAAAACAGTGTGTACTGAACGACTATTGTGTGTTATATCGTTAACACAAGACAGTGTGTACTGAATGACAATGGTATGTTATATCATTAACACAAGACAGTGTGTACTAAATGACAATTGTATGTTATATCGTTAACACAAGACAGTGTGTACTGAATGACAATGATGTGTTATATCGTTAACCCAAGACAGTGTGTACTGAATGACAATGGTGTGTTATATCGTTAACACAAGATCGTGTGTATTTAATGACAATGGTGTTTTATATTGTTAACTCAAGACATTGTGTTCTGAATGACAATGGTGTTATTTATCGTTAACACAAGACAGTGTTTACTGAATGGCATTGGTGTTTTATATCGTTAACACAAGATTGTGTGTACTGAACGACAATGGTGTGTTATATCGTTAACACAAGACAGTGTGTATTATATGACAATGGTGTTTGATATCGTTAACACAAGATCCTGTGTACTAAATGACAATGATGTGTTATATCGTTAACACAAGACAGTATGTACTGAATGACAATAGTGTTTTATATCGTTAACACATGGTAATATTTTGTCATTAAAACGTAAGGGGTAGAGGTAACTTGAGATGCTTTTCTGAGTTAAAAGAATTAAACAAATACGTTTTACTCTGTAATTTAAAAGAAAATACTGTTTTTATCAATTCTACGAACATTCATACCAAAATGATAACAAATCTTGAAGCTATTGTATAAATTTGTCCTGCAAATGGTCAAAAAATTCACTTACAATCACGTTTTCTGTCAAATTGGTATCTTTGACCGAATAGAGTCCAAAAACGAGCACACGGACATACCTTTTTTGGGGCTATGCCATTAACCCCCCTTTCTAAAAATGCAAGTAAAAAGATACAGGAAATTGTTGACTTCTCAATTCGTTCACTTTCTAAGGTTGGATTTAACGCTGGAGATGGGTTGAATGGCTACACTGTAAACGGGTCACTCAGTGATGACGTAGTCAATCTGGTCAACAGGTCTAATGTAGGGGTACCTGGCAAGTTCCTCTTCCGCGTCGACGGAGGCACAGTACAACCAGCTGACCAAACTATCAGTAGTAATAATAGTAAGTATAATTACAAGGCCGTTATTGAAAATTTACAAAAATGTGATTATGTAGTATGTTTGTTTTGAAAATAAATGACAGTAAGTCAAACATCTTATTTTGTTTAATAATTGTTTATGCTAAGACAAAATTGATAAATAGTAGATGATCAATAATTTTTCATAATTTCCTTCTTTTCTGTTCCAAGCCGTATACAACTATCGGTGTTAGTTAAATAATTTGTTTATTGGAATATATTGAAATGAAGTAAATTATATATTAATATGTAGCTATTTGTGCATTGAACATCTACGTTTTATATAACTTATGTTGTGATATTTTTGAGTTTTATTTGTTATTCATTTATTGTGAACACGAGCGATATGAGAGAATATTCAATATATCATGACAAATATTGTATAGTATTTCAGGTCTTATGGAATATGGCCTGCAATGTTATACAATATTTGTCAAATGCCATAAAAGCCAAGATAATGTTTACAACTGATAAAATGTTATAAATGTACCAACATCATGACATGAACCTTTTTATTTGTACATTTATTCATTACTACGCATTACTAACTGACATACACGCTTTGTAATATATTGTTTATTATATTTACCACTTACGATCTGTTATATATAATCTGTAATACATTGAAAGTTATCATAACCTATAAAGTGCATTATAACTGATTAATATGGTCAGTACATGTATATCTATCCTATACACTTTTTGAATGTATTCTGTTTTGTTGCAATTGATTAAATACACATTATTGAAATAAACCATGATATTTATATTTCTGTCATAGTGATACGACTTAAATGATTTATTGTGAAGGTGGGTTTTGTGCTAACATTTTTGTAAAGGAAAGTTTGCGCTTAACTAATTGAAATAAACCTTTACCGTACGATACTTCTTTTAATATTATGGTATAAGATATTATGAATTGTGTTATGTTTCACTTCCCTTTTAATTTTATGATGTCAAAAAATGTTTTAAATGTTACTATTTATACAAAGTATTGATATTAAGCGATCAACTTATTTTCATACAATGTTTATGCTTTTGTGTATATACATGTTGATATAATTATGATACAGATAGAAGATATTAACAATGAACTGTAAAATGCTAAAAACATGACAAAGTTATTACGCATTGAATAAATACGTCGATAGAATTATTTCATTATGCCTCCTTGACATTTTATCCCATATCTGAAACATGTTATATGATTTGCTGATGTCAGTGGTGACTAATTGTCTCTGTTTAACAATGGTATACCTCATATGCCATTCAGACATTACAACATTGTATTTTGTTGGCGTAGACATAAACTAAGATAAGGTAAGTTATAAATAAACAAGTATATTATCTGTCATTTGTAGTATAAATATTACATATAATGATCATGTTATGATAAGATGTCTATCAAACGTTATTAAATTAATCAAATCTTTTTAATAAAAGGCGTCAAGTGAAAAACCTGATTTTAAAAATCTACAATTTTCATATGTAGTAAAAACTCATGGCAATAATTATTCTAAATTTCAAACTGTGATCTGGCTTAAATTGATGAAAAAACATGTTTATTTATTTGGAAAAAACAACAACGTTTTGATAAAATGTTACATAATCATTAACAAAATATATTTCAAGGCCCGGACTGACTATGGTTTTGTTAATCTACGAATGCAAATTCACAATTTCCAAATAGTGAAATTCAAGTAAGTTTTTGCGTTACTTATGATATGAGATTAGAACATTTTGATATGCAAAGCTTAAATGTGTCCTGTTTTGAATAACAAAAGAGTAGCATATAATGTGTCAGAAGTAAGAAAAAAGTAAAAAAATCCTCTCGTGAAATGTGAAGTTCACGTAGCGAATGTAACCTGTCGTACGTGATAACGAATGTGTTTGTTATCTACTGTGGTGATATGTTATCCTGTTACAAAATAACACTTAAACAATTTTTGATGTCTAATATGACAGATAATTTCATCTCGATTATTCAACTAACAACACATTTAAATGCACTTATGAATTAGATCATGCTAATTGAATTATGATTTATTTAATAACATATTTCAAGAGAAATTACTCCTACCTGAGGTTGTTAACATTGAAATATTTTGTTTAGATGATGATTTAAAATGAGTCCATATGCTGTGACCTGAACGACAGACTTGCCATCTGCCATCAATGCACATGCAAGATGCATGAGGTATTCAAAACGTGGTGATAGGAGGTAAGATATATTTAGATGTGAGTTAGTAAGTTAGAGTTACACATTTTATTTTATTTTGTATATTGATTGGTAAGTAATGCAAAGCAATTTCGCTGATGACAATTGAAATAATAATGGAGCATTAATATAAGCACGAAACAGGATTTGTACCATTCGATTTATCTCATTAGCATCGTGGAATATTTGATATTTATTTACAATACCGTCATTTGGATATTTTCAGAAACGATATGAGTGAAGTCAACCGTTATCAATTATTATACAGGAAGTGGATATTGGGATTTGCACGCATGCGTCTTATGGATGAAGTTAACTGGACATTATCGTGCCGTTTTTGATTGTAAATAAATATGAGTAATTAAAATGTGCTGGATTGTAGAACAGCATTCCAAAGAACGATTGTTGACTTTTATATGGCAATTAAAAGTTGTTATATTTGATAAAAAAGGGAGCTAGAATATAGATATGAGTTATTGAGATTAACTATCATATGTTATATTAGGCTATAAGGTTACAATGTCATTATAATTACACAAAATCTCTGGTATTTCACCAACGATATATTTTAGATTGATTCACGGCAATATTCGACAGTGAACTAAAACTCTCGTTGATATCTATTCAGACGTAAGAAAAATAAGTATCCCTGAGAATTAGAAAGTTTACATTAATTAACCCAAACTTGATTAGTATGGTGCAAATTTTGTTAAACAGAAAAGACGATTGTCGATTAAGCACTTAAGAAGCAGTATTTTCCTGTGACCCCTTAGCTATAGCTTCTCTGTCACTCTGTAGGGTATGACAGAAAACACGTGAAAAGAAACGAAATATGATATCACGGAACAATAAAATATGATGTTAAAATTAGATCTCGACAGAAAATGAATTGATAAACATCTAAAAAATAAAAATCTTTCTTTTATGCACAGCACATCAACTCATAAAGCATTTCCCCCGATACGCATTATACTGAAGTTAACTCAATTTGCTATTTTGAACGCCAAACGTTGTTCCAAAAATACTAAGCTTGGAAGTTCAGAATATATTCAACAGAACCAATTGAATACCAATTATTGAGAAAAAATAATGTCGGTCCAAAACTGATAGACTACTGAAATTTTAAAGATTTGCTGCTCATTGTTAATAAAGTTTAATTATAAACAAAAACAAAAAAATACCGTAAGTTGACGAGGTTTGCATGACATATAGGTTATAGCATGTCTTGCACAGAAAAACGCATTTCCCCTGAAGTTTTTCCATTAGAGCAAGGAAAATCTTGCGGACCTTCTTATTCACATTAAATGATATAAAACTTATCTCCGTGTAGTATGTGATACAAAAAAAAATCCAATGAAGAACTCTTCTTTGCATTAATAGAAAATCCCGAAATTATTTCGTAACAATCGAGATGTCAGATTATAATTTTCCTGACATCATGAGGCGTGATCAACTATGGAAGTTGACAGTTTTAATTTGCTAAATATCCCCATCAAATAATAATGGAAGCCATGTCCGACATCTCCCGAAAACCATTTTAAGGTGACGTCACAGGAGACATTCCCATTAATTGTCTGTTAAGTTAACGAGATCCCTTACAGCAGGAGATTAACTTACTATATTTTCTTTTATCAGGAAGGGTTAGGTTTTTAAATTCTGTTATAATGACTTAATTAATAGAAAGTGTTTTGATACCACAGAATAGTAGAATCTATAACCTATCAATGATAGGCAGATAGGTGTCTCAGACCTATTTAGATAAGACCTATTTAGTAATATACTAGAAAAAGAAACCAATATCGCCTTGTTATCAAAATGTCACATTAAAACATGTCTGTATAAAACATGTTAATTGAATTTTGGAAATTTTCCTGAAATTGTCCCTAAAAATACGTTAGAGTCAAAGCTTTCTGATGTTCAACAAATCCTTTTAAGTCACCAAGTTTGAACACGAATCTTCATTCTGTTTTATTGACAATCAAGACAAATATGAGATATCTATGTCTGTTTTCATGATAATAGTAAACAAAAACATTTCACCACTTAACCATTTTCCCTACCTGTTTGCATAACATGGAACATTAAAAAGTAAGAAAGGAAACCTAAAATTTGTATATTTGTACATAGAAGAAGATATATGCTTCAGGTGATACATCATTTACACAAAAGAAATTACAATATGTTTGTATGATATACTATGCATACAGAGATTTGCACGTGTTTCCATTTCATACGCGATTAATGAATCGAATTAAAGAATTTAAAATTTTAGCGAGCTAAAGCACAATCAATAATCGTATCTTAAATATATATTAAGATATCTTCACTAAGCACTAACTTGCGCCAAAAGATTATCATTGCGCCAGGAACTCATTTATTGTTTCATACAGACGACAGAGACGCACACATTACTATCGGCAACGATTCTCCCCTATCGCTTTTGATTTCTTTTATAACTTTGTGTAACATCCACACTATGCTATCGTTCCTTTGTCCTGATCAAGGTAAATTATATTGGTTCTGTAACAAATCGCTTCATTGGTGGATGGGCTTGTCATAAAATAGTTTCCTTTGCTTTACGTGGTATTGTTCTGGTATTCTATAGCAGTGTTTTAACTTCTTAGCGTAGGAGAAGAAGAACATTGACCTTACTGATGAAATGGTTCATATCAATTAACAAACCATTATCAGTTTTTAGAAGATCGACAATAAGATCTAATGTTTTCCCCTACACTGGTTCCACGACCAAATAATGATTCGTCCCACCAAATCGTGCAGTATTTTGACACTTTTGATTTTCACCTCTCGTTAATGTTGCTCTCTTCCTTCAAATGTTGGTATTATGCTTCTCTAAAAGACTAACTC